GGTGTACCTTTAGCTAGGCTAACCTGTTAGCTTGTTTTCTAGCTGGTCTAAAGAGTTTGGGTCAGTACTTCCCACAGGGTTAATGAAGGCTCACAGCTGTCATTTCACAGTTCTTCCTGTATTTGTATATAAGTATTTGTATATAAGTATTTGTATATAAGTATTTGTATATAAGTATTTGTATATAAGTATGAAAGGCTGCAGTGAACTGGTTCAGTGTTGTTGTTGTTGTTTACAGAATAAAGAAGTTAGAAGCAGATGGATTGTGTGTAGTTGTTTGAACTAAAGTGTGTGTGTGTGTGTGTGTGTGTGTGTGTGTGTGTGCAGGCTGATCAGCTGACAGAGGAGCAGATTGCAGGTAAGACATCAGACCTTCAGGCCTCACCTGTCCTGTGGAGTTACACTTTGACCTTGTTAGGTGTTCCTCAGGGCTCCTGCAGGTCATCAGACTGGGCTGAGTGGAGCAGCAGCTCCTCAGGACAGTTTGTTGACCGTCTGATTTCTACAGACTTACCTGTAGTTATGAAGTCAGTATCTTACCTGTGCTAGATGTCTGAAGATGATTGTGACAGGACTGATGAGCTCATGGCTGGTCTGAACACAGGTCAGTGTGATGCAGTAGACCCTCATGGCTCAGTTTAATATCAGGAACAAGCAGCAGCAGCAGCTAGCTGTAGCATTTGTTGTGCAGCCTGAGTACACTCCCAACAGGAAGTCTGAAGGTTTCCTGCAGGACTTTTACATCTTTAACCTGGAACCTCAGGCTTTCTGTTCTGACTAGCCATTGGCTCATCTGTCAGCATCATCTTCAAACATCTGCCACAGGTAAGATGGTGTTTGTTCATGAAGCAGCTCATCTTGTTCTTCTCTCCTCCAGAGTTTAAGGAGGCCTTCTCCCTGTTCGACAAAGATGGAGACGGAACCATCACCACCAAGGAGCTGGGCACAGTGATGCGCTCCCTGGGTCAGAACCCCACGGAGGCGGAGCTACAGGACATGATCAACGAGGTGGACGCTGATGGTGAGCACCTGTCCTCCTCCACCTGTCCTCCTCCACCTGTCCTCCTCCACCTGTCCTCCTCCTGTCCTCTGAAGGTGACCTGCTGGTTTCTCTGCAGGAAACGGAACAATAGACTTCCCAGAGTTCCTGACCATGATGGCCAGGAAGATGAAGGACACGGACAGTGAGGAGGAGATCAGAGAAGCCTTCAGAGTCTTTGATAAGGTGAGTGGAGCCGTGTCCTCTGAGCAGTACCAGTGTGAGCTGGGACCGGACTGGACCGGACTGGTCTGGACTGGACCGGACTGGTCTGGTCTGGACTGACCACCAGCTGCTTTCAGGATGGGAACGGTTACATCAGCGCGGCTGAGCTGCGTCACGTCATGACCAACCTGGGAGAGAAGCTGACGGATGAAGAGGTGGACGAGATGATCCGAGAGGCAGACATCGATGGAGACGGACAGGTCAACTATGAAGGTTGGTTCTGTTGGTTCTGTTGGTTCTGTTGGACCTGTGTTCAGACCCAGCTTCCTGTCCTGACTCAAGGTTCTGTTTGTTCCAGAGTTCGTACAGATGATGACGGCCAAGTGAAGAGTTCTGTCAATCAGCAGCCTTTCTTCTGTCCTCTCTGTGAAGTCTCCACGTCCCCCCGCTGTCTCCACGTCCCCTGCTGTCTCCACGTCCCTCTGTCCTCTCTGCTGTCTCCACGTCCCTCTGTCCTCTCTGCTGTCTCCACGTCCCTCTGTCCTCTCTGCTGTCTCCACGTCCCCCTGCTGTCTCCACGTCCCTCTGTCCTCTCTGCTGTCTCCACGTCCCCCTGCTGTCTCCACGTCCCTCTGTCCTCTCTGCTGTCTCCACG